TCTCTGGCCTGTACCCCAGTTCTGTATGAATAAATAAATCAATCTTTAAAAAAAAAAGTTTTAAAAAAAAAAAGTAGAGGATAATATTTCTGTATTGCTGAGGTGAGAAAACCTTTGTAAACATGGGATAAATTCCAAAGCCATAAAGTAGAACATTGAGATTGACAGATGCAGCAAAACCTTCTGAAATTGAAAATCTAGTGACAAACAAGGAATAAGCACTTACTATATGAATGACTTGGAGCTAATGTACTTAATATATAATAAGCCATTAGAAATAAAGATGAACGTACCCAAATGTTAATGATCGTCCTCCCCCATCCCCACTAGTAAACAGGCAAAATATACTAGCAGAATGCTTGCCAGGCGAAGAATAGAAATGATAGCTAAACATACAAAGAATACAAACAGTATCTAAACATATGAAAGGTGCTCATCCTCTTAATAATTAGAGAAATACAAAGTGGAAAAAGAGTGCTTTAACCTTTCTTACTGATGTGGATGATAAAGGTGAATAATGACTCATATTGGCCAAAAATGTGGAGAAACAGGACACTAACATTTCTGGTGGGAAATAGTTACTCAGTCTTCCTAGAAAGCAGATTAGTAGTTATGTATCAAAACTTCAAATGTGGCTGCTTCTTGGGCAGACTAGCCACACAAAGAAAAAATATCCTTGGATAAATACAATGTTATAGCATGGTTTATAATGCTAAAAAATAAGAAACATTGTAAATGTCCACCTATTTAGTATACATTAACATTTTTGTAAGGTCGCACACCACGTGCTATAGGGGAGCTAAAACCAGGAGAGGAATACTTTCTACTTGGTACACTTCTGTGATGTTTGGAATTTTTTAAGAACTACAATGTAGTTCAAAATAAAGACTAGAAGTCTGAATTGAATGAAGAAATTGGAGTGAGAATGTCAGTTAAAGGATACTTTCTCTTGTTCAAGTCTGAAAAATGTCACTGGCTTAAACTGGAACTCTGGCAATTGAATGGAGAAAGAGGGTAGATTTGAGAGACATTTTAGAAGCAGATAGTCATTTCTACTATTGGGAGAATAAGGAGAGATCACAGTCAAAGATGACTTTGCAGTGTATAAATTGTGCTGAATAAACGGTTACCCATTATCAAAAACAGGAATAGCAGCTTTTGAGTTCATGAGATACTGAATATCTTAAGCATAGCTCCTCAGTAAGTATTTGAATAATAAATTAGTTTGCTTTGATTAGCTGACCTTTAACAGGTACCATTGATGTTTTCTTACTAAGGTTTTTCTCCCAGCCTTCAGCTCTACTAATGTTTGTTAGGAAATGTAACTAATATTTTTAAATTATCAGCAACAATTTCTAAGTGTAATTTTTAAACTGTTTATTTGTTCTTTTGTTTTCAGAGTGCTCATTTGGCCATGATAGATACCCTGATGATGGCGTATACTGTCGAAATGGTCAGTGTAGAGAAAGTAATAGCGTGTGCTCAACAGTATTCAGCATTTTTCCAAGCCACGGAGCTGCCCTATGATATTGAGGATGCTGTCATGTACTGGATAAATAAGGTAGGCGTGTTCTGACCTGAGTGAAAATACATCTCAGAACCAGAAAAAGTGAAATTATCAATTATGCATTGCCTTGCTGTGATATGCTGCATGTTTTTGCATCCAGAAATTCATGTTGAAATATAAAATCTTATGAAATATTTTATTATGAAACTTTGGGAAGTGGGCGCCACTGGGAGGTGACTACATTACGAGGGGATCCTCCCTTATAAAAGAGACATCAGAGAGCCCCCTTGCTCTTCTGCCATGTGAGGTCATAGCAACAAGGTGGCCAGGACGCAGACACTCCACTGCCTGCACCTTGATCTTGGACTTCCTAGGCCTCCAGACTAAGAAATCAGTTTCTGCTGTTTACAAGCCACAGTGATACTTTTGTGAGTAGACTAAGACACACTCCTCATGGACAAAACCCTCGCTCAGCTGCAACACCCTTTCTCCCTAACAACCTCCCCACATGTCCTTGACTCAATGCTTAGCCCTCTGGCCACTTTCCCATCCCTTTTTCCACCCTCAGGTGGTTGCGCCCTCTCACACTCAAGGGCCTCACCGGTGCCATCGTCCTAGAGCCATGATGCTGCAGGCCACTGTGAAACAGGCTTTATTTAAACTGCCAGCTCGTAAGTGGACGTTCATAGTTAGGCACAGACGTTTTCTAACTGAGCTCAGAGTTCTTGATACAGTCAAGGGGATCCAGACACAACTTGTGAGAGGCCTGAGAGTGCTGCCACCTAACACACAGAAATAAATTTGATGAAATTCCTTACAGCACCTTAGATAATATCTTGAATGCAGAAGATTTTCATTAACTATTACTGAATTAATTGTAAATATACTTCTCTTCAGTCTGTCGTTAAGTCACTGAACTGAAGTGATTAGAAAATAATTGATTTAGTTGTGTGGATGAAAATAGCATTAATATATTCTAGAGTGCTGTTAATAAATTTACATTTTTGCTTATTATTATTGAGGTAACTTTACAACCATTAATTCAAAATTACATGTTCTCAGGAAGTATTTTATGTATTATATAGGTGGCTTTGTAGTCTTTCTGGATTTTGGACTCTGAACAATGTGGTAGGAGCTGCCTTAGCCTACTCTCAAAGCAATTCCTGTAGACAGGAATTATTCAGTGCGTTTTAACTGCGGTCCTTGACTGTACTAGCACCTCATGGCCATGGACGCATCTGTGACCACAGCGTAAGAAGTGGATTCCAAGTATTCTCTACTGATTCTGGAAATACAGATTTCAGGAATATTTTTTTTACTAGTCCAAAAATAGATTATAAAATTTCTGCTGAAAAAATGCCTCCTGAATATTAAAATTGAAGTCAGTCCCTTATTTTCTCTAGTATTCCATCCATTTTCCAGCATATGTAGATGCTCAACAAATATTTGATAAATTAATGAATTAATTTTAGACTAGCAAATAAAGCACTATAAAATTTTTTTTCTTCATTTCAGTGGTGCTGATATTTGATAACAAGGATCTCATCCTTTGTGTTTTAAGGTATCTGTTACTTTGATATGTTTAAATAGAAATCAAAATTTTTAATACAAAATAAAATTTTATATTTTTAGGTAAATGAACACTTGAAAGACATAATGGAACAAGAACAGAAATTGAAAGAACCTCACACTGTTGAAACTCCAGGAGGTCAAAAGGTACATATTTTAAAGGGAAAAAATGCTGTCTTTAGGAGACTATATAGGTTAACATGTATATTGTTTTGGGAAATATTAGTAGTTGTATTTCATTAAGTTTTTAGTAATGTTAACTGCATCCTAGAAAGGCTGCACCATTAGCACCATGTAAGTAGAAGTACAAATGAAGGTTAATTGGTAGTGTGTGAAAAAATTGTTAATGGCTAGAACTCAATTTCTAAGGTTCTTTTGACCCAAAATGCTTTTACCTTTGCTTGGAGAAGTGTGAAATAACAAGAAAACAGTTCTCAACGTGTCAGGCTTCTAATGACTTGCAGTGAGGCCAGCCTTTGAAAGTGATATTTCTAAGAACTATGAGTTGGAGATGTGGTTATTCTCTGAAGGAAGAAGAGACAGTAACATGGACTCGATCTTCCAGCATTCTTGAATGGGCTTTTAGAGTTTTCTTCCTTTAAAGTTTGTGTTTGTCACCAGTATACTAAACTGTATTATAATTAGCCTCTTTTAATATTGTACAGTGTTCCAGTTGAGGGATAAGAAATTATAATCCTGTATCTTATTTTCCATTTGAATTATTTTAAATCCCTGTGAGTGCACAGTGCTACTATTCATTTTGGAGTAATGCTGCTAATCATGGACTCCCTTTAAGAAAAGAAAAAAGAAGGGGGAAAATTTTGTTTATTTACTTCAAGAGAATATTTGTGGAAGACCTACAAAATTTTGTGTGAGTTTGATCTTTTGGCAAATTTCCCCTATCTAGCTTACTGACGATAGCTCCTGAAAATACTACTCATGCTTGACCCTTCATTTTCACTTTGTTGAGGTTCTTTCTTCTAAAGCTAAATCAGGATGGAAGTCACTCTTACTGTTTCCCCAGACTGTTTGTTCCATTTCCTGGCTGTCAGCCACCTTCTGCGCTCTCGCCCGTCTCCTTGTACCGTGCCTCTTTTTCTCTTCCGCTTCCCATAGGAACTGAAACCTTTGTCTTAGAGATGCATATAGCCCTGCCCCCTAATTTTGCTTCTGCTCTAATCAGGAATAAGGTTAAGATTGTATCATCTGAAATTATGACATCCATCAACTTTCCCCACAGAAATGGTGTTTATTATATATAATCATTAAGTTCTATAGGATTACACGTTATGAACTTAGTGGGAATTATACATGCTGATAGAGCACCCAGTAAACATTTCTGTGGAAAGAAGTGCCATCCCATAGCCTAGACAGTCAGATTAAGTGACCTTTGAGAAAAACTAGCTACATGGAATCTAGACAATACTTCAGCTACCTACTTTATCTTTTACACGGCACATAGCATCTTGCAATTGTATCTTTTAACCTCAGCTAATTTTTCTTAAGTGGGTGCATGAACAAATGAATCTGCTTCACTTTTTAAGTATTTTACTGTAAATAAACAACAATGTAATGAAATAAAAACTTAATACAATATTTTAATGTAACTATAGCATTAACAATGTTATTTTCAAGTGTTTCCTCCTTACTAGAATTTTTTTGAAAATAAGTGCTCATTTCACAGTCTGGTTGCACAATGCGGTGTTGTCATCATGAAGCCACACTTTCACATCATAAGAAATCTCGCTGTGACCTAACAGCGGTGCTTTTGGCATTTGAGCTGCTTACTTGAATTAGCTGGAAATATGGTCATTTCCTTCTTGATTTTTATTCTTATAAAAACCAAAATTCTTTATCCTTTTCTCCTTTTAGGAATGAAAGTGACAACAACTTGCTCTCTTTTCTTACTGCACAGTTGCTAAAATGTCGCCACGCCTCCCACCTCCCTCTGCTAGTTTGCCTCTTGAAACCTGTCTATACCTCTGGCCCTGTTACCTGTCACTTACCTAGCTGAGGACAGAGCCAGGCGTCGGATGATCACTTGGCTTAGCTTCTGATCTTGCCCAACCCTTCTCATGTTCACTAGAATTTATCTTATGAAACTTACTTTACAGGCCTCTACACAGTAAAATTTATACTTACGTTGAGGAATACTTGGGCTGATATTATTCAAGTTAGACCAAAGTTAAAATTCCAAAGGTATTCTTTAGATTATTAGATTCTCTGATGATATACCCCTGAGTGTTGGGCAGTTTGGTATCCTAAGAAGAAGGTTTTTAAATAGCGTCATGTCCTATGGAAATGTTTGTTTGACCTGTTTACTAAAATGTTATTTTCTCTATTTCTTCTAAGTTACTCTTTTCATTTCTAATACTTCAAATTTTAAAGTAGACTGTCGAGTTAAATTTGAATTTCAAATAACCAGTAAACCTAATACCCTTGTAAGTTACATGAACATCTTGAATTTTTATTTGCAAAATTTAGTAACCCTGCTTTAAAGCTCTCTAACATTTATGGCCAATGACATTAAGCCCAGTGTTCATTCTCTCAAAAGAGTTTGGAAAGGGCCTCTCTGGTGACCTGAGGGTTAAGTTTCAGCACTGTTAGGACCAGGGAACTGACCCACATGGCACAGCAGACTTCTCCTGTCTCACTCACGCTCCTCTCAGCAGTGTATTTCAGTGAATCTGCCTGTTCTGCCCCCAACTCTGTCTTTGGTGAACCCTTTCACCCCCATGTACTTCTGGCCTACACCCCAGTTCTTCTATGCATAAATAAGTCTTAAAAAAAAAAAGAAAGAAAGAAAAGACTGGCCTTCTGTGTCTATGCAGGTGTTCCTCTTTAAAAAAAAGGAGGGGGGTGGGGATTTTGCGCAGATTATAATGGTAAAGTGAGTACTGAGTCAGAATAGTTCTGCCAGTGACTAGCTTCATGAGTTTCACAAAGGCACTTGATTTGACCTTTCTGGAATTCATTTTCTTTATCTGTAAAATATGAAATGTTGGATTAAATGACTTCTGAATTCTATAATGACTCTCAAATATTCCCCTCAATAAATATATGGCACTTAAAACAAAAGGTTAGTGAAAATAGTCATTGGTTGGTTATCAGAAACATTCATGTGTATATCTATACATGTAGCATTTCTTTACATATATAAATATACATGTAACTAGTGGTTTTATGATCACTAGGCAAAGAAATATCTAAAGAAGCCTTTTAGAAGATATGGGACTTAGGAGGTTTTATAGAATTTGTGAAGGAAGACAGACAGTAGGTCAGAGGGAGTACTGTGAACACAGACCCTGAGCTGCAAGAAGGCACATTTGGAACTTAGTGAGTAGGCCATTGGATTCTTTCTGAAAGAGATGTGGATTCATGAGCTTTTACCTCATTTAGAGAGTAAAGTTTGTTTATACCTAAGATACCTTTGAGAAAATGGTTCCAAAGTCAAATATATTTGGGAAATGGCCCCTGGTCTTTGCCCATTTAGAATGTTACAACCCATTTTAATACATTAAAGGCCCATTTATTTAGTCTGGTTATCTGTTTCTGAAACACATTTAATCTTTGAACCCATCTGTGCATGCCACCTACTGATATCTCCTGGCGTGTGTCTTTGGAACATACTTTGGGAAGCATTGGTTTGTAACTGATTAAGCTGTTTTGCTTCAGATATAAATATACAGAGTACACATTTAATGGTCTAATATGCATTGTCAGATATGTTTGTTATTTACCTTGGTTTTCTTTTTTCCTTCCTATTTAAATAATTGTAAAGACTTTAACTTGCCTCAATTAAGTAATGTTTTGTTTAGAATTTTACCACTAGATTGTTTGGTAACTTATCCTGGCTGTGGGCTATTGTTGTCAATGCTAATTCATATCATCTTTTATTCCTATTACCAGCATACCTTTTATCTTTCTTAATAATTTATTTGCCTTTACTGCTGCCACAGCACCCAATTTAGACTATGCCCCTGTTGTATTAGCAACTTGTTTAATTTAGGTAAGTGGGGAAATATACATTTTAAACAGTTTTGAAATTCAGAAATGATATTATGATTTTTACCTGCTAAGAGAAAGACAGCAGTGGGCAAATCAGGAAAAAAAATGTCAGAGTTACGTTGGAGGATGGCGGCTAGTGTCTTGCTGGCTACCACATTGGTGCATTAGGTTATAATGCATACACCTGAAACTTATATGGCTTGGTGGCAGTTTAGAAGAACATTTGGGGGCACATTTATTTTTAAATATTCCAGATTTATAAGATGTTCCAGTAGTCAAAAGAACCCTATGTATTCTTTTCCCAGGTTCAGTTTAATATTTGGTCATGTTCTATTCTTCTCTTTCTCTCTTGTATGTACAAAGACATGAATATGTACATTTTTCTGAGGCATTTGAAAGATGTTTGCATAACCGCTTAGTATTTCAGTCTACTTCTTAAGAAAATTTCTTCATTTACAAGAGTCACAGAAAAGGAAATTTAATGTTGACATAAAATGTTGATCAGACTTGTAGCCATTATTCTAATTTTGTCATTTATACCAACTGTGCTTTACAATCTTTTTCTGTTCATCCAGTTCTAGATCATATAATGCATATTTCTCATCTCTAATCTTCTTAAAACTGGAATGTTCCCTTAGCTTTCTTTTTTCTTTCACGAGCTTCACATTTTTTAAGGATACAGATAATTTTTGAAATTCAGAAATAGAATTCTATGAAATAGAATATTTCTCAATTTGGGTTGTTGTAACCCATAATATCCTCATAATCAGATTGAAGCTTTACTTCTTAAAACTGAAATACTATATGTATGTTGTGTCCATATGACACAGTATTAGCTCCAGAGATACTGGGTGCCCATTTGCCTCTGATAGATAGTTAATTCTGATCTGTTGGCTATGATATTTTCTGCTTTCTTGACTGCATGATTATTATTTCTCTTTGTAATAAGTAATCTGAGAGAAGCTATTTTGAAATTGTAAATATTTGTTCCTCTTCAGTGTTTCCCATCGCCCCAAGATTCAGTGTTCATTGATGACATCTCCTTCACTTAGTTCTTAGAATAATTCTGGATTTATAGAAGATTCAGAAATAATACACGTGTACTTCACCCAATTTCTTCTAATGTTTATAACTAAAGTAATAACATTGATTCATTATTATTAACGAAAGTGTTTAGTTTCCACTAATAACTAATCAGATGTTTCGTGCAAAGTCCCTGAATTTTGGGTTTGTCTGGTGTGTCCATGGTATTTTGAGAAAAATAACACCAAAGTGATATGATATCACATCATGTCTGGGGGTACATGACATGAACATGATTTATTACTGCTATCTTAACCTCAATCACTTGGATAAGGGAGTGTTTGTCAGATTTCTCTATTGTGAGATTTCTATTTTTTCTCCTTTGATGGCTCTGTTCTTTGGAAGGGGGGTCATTAAATCCAACCCACACTCCAGGGTAGGGAAGTCAAGCTCATTCTGAAAGCAAAGAATGTCTCACTGTTATTTGGAAATCTTCTGTAAGGAAGATTTGTGTCTTCTCCATTTGTTTATGCATTCAGTCATTTATTCTTACTGGAATGAACTCATGAATATGTGTTTTAAACTTTGGGTTGTATTCCCAAAGTATTGTGTTACTTATTTGTTGCCCCAGACTTTCTAGCTTCAGCCCTGGGAGTAGGCCAGAGCTCTTCCGGATGGCTCTCTTGTCCCATGAGTGTGATCCATCATTTTTGCTTTCTGGCAATACAGACTCCAGGCTCACCTTCTGTTTCCCCTAGAACCAGCTATGAATTCGTTTCTTCAACCATTTAACTATATTTGGGCATAGAAGTAGTTGCGGTGTCTTGAAATTACAAGTAAATGCTGCAAAAATAATGCAATGAAGGTACTTTTGTGTTCTTGAAATTTTCAGGGTATATTTCCTAGAAATTGGCTAGATGAGAGGTGAATATATGTGTGCTTTTGATAGTTGTTGCCAAAGTCTCCTCTAAGGATATGTTTACCATTTTACATTCCTGTCAGCAATTCAACCTTTGGACCTACAGCAAGCAAAGAGATTCTTAAGTCTTAGTGCTCATGAAATGACAGATCACAGCTGTGATTGACTCCATAAAGAATCCTAGCTTCTTGGGGTGTCTAGTAAAGCCAGATCAAGCCAGCATCTTACAGTGGCTTGGGAGCACCAAGAAGAAGTTCAGGAATAATCTTAAACCCCACAGTGACTGTGGATACCCAGAGGAGGACATACAATTATTTGGAGAGTATTAATGGCAATGCTAAAAACCAATAACCAAAATTTAGGATGAGTCAAACAAGTATGATAGAGACAATAGAAAGGAATACTTGAAATTAGATCTATTCCAGATAGTTCTAACTGCCTAGATTGGTCCTTGCCACTATGTGGACTTACTAAAATTTTTCTACCATTGTTCATGGACTTAAAAACTCCTTGATTTTTATAAATACTTATATCTTAAAATAGGACTGTAGGTTTCAGTGTGCCCAATTCTTCCTGAAAACTAGAAGCAGGGGACAGTTTCTAGTTACTACAGAAATGCAAATAAGCAATATAATGCAAATAAATAAATAGTATAAATCTTTGTTCTTTTTATTACTTACTTTTTTTAGTCATGTTTTCTTCACATAGTCATTATGAATGGTTTTACTTTTTCCTTTAGAAGGATTGCTGTCACCCAGTCAGGCCAATGGAGAGGCAGGAGAAAGGCCAGAACAGAATGCTCAGCATAAGTAAAAAGCACAATACTGAATCTTGTATAAGAAATATGGACTAGGTGGGACCATGGGAGACTCATTTGTACTTTTACTATTTTCAGTAGTCCACAATTTCAGTTACATCAGTTTCTGTGTAATGGATTCTTCTAGCCTCAAAAACAAAATCCCTCTTTTTAAATCTCCATTCATTGGGAACTTTAATTCTTAGTGGCTTCCTGATCTTTGGTCTTGCTCTTGAACTTTCTCTATTATACCTTTAGCTGCCAAAAACATCTGGTTAAATGGGAGAATAAAATATATGCAACAGAATTATTAGGGATTGTTTTTCCTGATGCAGTAAGAAAAAATGTATTGGAAATGTTTTCCCTTTGTGGGAAGGAAGCTGGTACTTTTCTCATCCTTGAAATAACCTATTTCTGAGTCTTCAGATTCTTCAAAATACCTTACTTATATGAATTTTCCAAATAACCTTATTTTTACTGATTATGTAGGAAAATATTTCTAGTAAAAACTGAATATGAATTTTAACTCAGGCTTGTTTAGTTTATTTCAGTGAACATTTATTCAAGGCTGCCAGAAATTAATACAAAGATAAACAACCACAAATTCTTTACTCATGTTGTACAAAATTATGGCTTTACTATATTAATTTTTTTTTCATAAAACAAATCATAGAGGAGTTCCACATGTATACATAGCTCCTGTACACATCCAAGAGGCCCAGTATGAATGAGTAACTCAGCAGCCTTAAATAGCTTCTCTGGGACACAGGAAGTGTATTCAGCTGTGTAAAGAAGCAAAATTACATTCCTTGGGATGTATCTAGTGGGATGCCACTAGATAATCAGACTTACAATGTTTATATTCATTTGAGTAGTCACTCACTTTAAAGACTAAAAATCTGAACTGGTAAGAATTGCCAACTTGTTTAACACTTGTTAATTAATGGGATATTATGTAGTTGAAATAAATGATCATTGTTTTTTAGTCTTTTGCTATTTGTTGATGTGAACTAAAGTAAAACAATATTCTTTTCCTTTTGGAAAAGTCTGCATTGTCAGACTTGAACTTCTAATGCCTAAGAATTATACTGATTACAAATCCAGCCCTAGAATCTTTCTGCTTCCCTTTTGTGATTTATTTTTAATATGATACATGACTCCAGAAATTAGAAGTAAAATTTTTGCTGCCAAAGAATACAGAATATATCTTAAAAATGAATTTCTGTATTAGGAGAGAAGGAAAGGGTGGTGGCCTTATCATTAGGAACACAAATATATATTTGGAACATATATTTTTACCTAATGTATTAACTAACATTTTAATTTTACATTTTGTGAGAGCTGTAAATGTAGAGTTCCACTGTCAGAAGCTTGTTGTGACTTGTTAACTGAAAATAATTCTGATGAATTTCCCCTTTACCTTTTGCTTTCCCCCTTTTTTCCTGCTGCTTCCTCTGAAGTCTCCTTCCAAATGGTTCTGGAAACTGGTTCCAGTAAGTTTGTCCAGTTACTTCGATTTGCTCTTCAGAATTGTAATTGTAGAATGAGACTACTTATGTCTTGTTGGTATAATCATTTCATATAATTTTGGTAGTCACTGCATAAAGAGATTGGATTTTATGGTATTTGTTCATAATGTAAAATAGAAAGAAAATTCTATCCAAAGTTTAGATTAGAAATTTTTTAAATTATACATATAGATTTTCACTAGTTTATGAACTTTAGTAAAAGTAAATATGGATAGTGTGTGAGAATTATTTGTATTTTACAGTCATCTTTTTGATGGAATCATTTCCTTTCAGCCTGAATTTCTGAATTTTCAGGTGTGCTTTTTGTGTAGTTAAAAAAAAGTGATAAGCGCTCTATGTCCTCACCTGTATTAGAACTAAATTATAGTTAGTTTTGATTTGCCTTAAGTGTTGGTCTTTTAGGGCTAAATCTTTGGGGGTTGGGGCTCAGACCACCTTACTATTTTATACCCTCAGGAAATAAAAATAAAACTTAGCAATAAGACAAAATGCAGAGAGACAGAAATATGATGTGCCCGTTGGGTAATAGGGACTGCCGGAAAGCTTCTGTGCTATAAGTTCCAGTCAGAGCAAGTATGAAGTATAACTTTTATGAGCCGCAAGTGTACTTTGTGGGAACTTGTATGACGGCAGGGTTAAAAGTTGGGTTACCAAAAAAAAAAAAAAAAAGTTGGTTTACCTGATACATCTTCCTGGATATAATCTTCAGGAAAATGTTTGAGCATACCACTTAGAAATCTCTGATTGTCTCTTTTAAACCATAGACATTTATTGCAAAAGCCTGATAACACTGATAACACTGTGCCTTCTTTGAAAGTGTTACTCAGCAGAAAACAATACAGCAAATTACAACTCAATTATTTGTTTCATGACCTTGGGTGCTTAGTTCAGTGCCGTTTAGACTGGAGGCTGAACACAAGCTAGCCCTAGAGGTCTGGAATCAGAATTGAGCCAGGCCAACTCTGTGTCTGGCTGGCCAAATGAATGCAAGGCTCTGGAACCGTGCTCGCCAAGTGCAAGAAAGGCTTTAAGGCTCGAAGGTGCTGCTGTTTGCTTTCTTTTTGTTTTTCTTCCCCTTCATTACCCCTCTTCTCTCTTGTCATGGTTGACTTTATACTCCTAGTAGCAAAGTAAGAAAATTTTCTAAGGGTTATATAAAATCAGTTATCAATTAAAGAACTTATCTAGTGCATGTGTTTTTTTTTTTTTTCTTTTCTGAATATAGGCACTCAGTAGATTGAGGACTTACCATTAAATACAGATATCTAGCCTGAATGATTAATAAAAACAAATTCCTCCACAAATCTTCAAGAGGAAATAAAAGTTCCAATCTTATTTTGGATGGACAGTAAAAATAGGACTAAATAACTCCTTCAGTAACACACAGTGCTTTTCTGAGGCATTTCATTTCAAGGAAATCTAAACTTACTACCTGATACTAAATGTTGTAAATTATTTTTCTATTTTTAATTTCACAAATATATTTTATTTCATGACTATATTTTAATGATAAAATACAGAGGGAGTTAGAAGTAAAACTAATTCTAATTACTTTTTTAAAAATACTATCAGTAGTGAATATACTCATAAATTTTTCTAATTAAAGACTTCACTATTCATTTTCATTGAATCTTCCGTGTTATTCTCAGTTATAGGGGCCCTAGTACATAACAACGAGCGTTCTTGCTTGCTGTGCATCCAGCAGTGGGCAGAGCACTTTATAAATGTTCTCCAGTTCTTCAGTAGGACTGTTCCCATTTTACAGAGGGAAAACTGAGAAATGGGATTGTAAGTAATTTGTCCAAAATCACAGAGCTACTAAATGGCAGAACTAGGATTTGAACCCAAGACTCCAGAGCTTGTTCTTTCAACTCCAAATTTTACAGTGTGTCTCATATTTAGGGAACAATCCAGTAAATTTGTATATACATAAACCAACCTTTAAAAATAAAGGTATCTTAGGGCCCTCCCTGGTGGCGCAGCGGGGTAAAGCACAGCACTGAGAATCTAAAGCCGTTTCCGCATGAGTTCGATTCCGCCTGCCCTGGAGGTGACCGCATGGCGTGGCAGACCTCTCCTGACCCGCCCGCTGCTCCCCTCA